GGAGGTGCCAAGCTCGCGGAGGCATCATCCAGGATGGGTACATCCTGCAACATATCGGTGTACAAGTACCTACTACTTTACCTTGTCTTAATGTGCAATGATCATACGCGGTTAAACAGGGATCGTAAAATTGTATGAGGGTGATAGATTCATAGTTCCTGCTTATTTAATCTTCTTGGGGGAAAACAATTAACTCGAAATCAAAAAGGCGCAGGGATGCAATGTTAGTTCATAAATGAATTACTGCAGACTTGGGTAGTGGCTACAATAAGTTGTTTTTCTTTGGGAAAAAAGAAGGAAAGGTATGGAACATATACAAGGATAAGCATGTGAATGGGGACGAAATAAAAATTTTAAATTCTCGAATGCAAACGTTGTGCACGAAGGTACTTGAGCAAGGCCATGGGTTCGGTGGATATGCTATATCCAGTGTATTTGTGCAATGGCACACTTTTCTTTGAAGTGCATTCCATCACAAAGTTTCTACCACCTTGGCTTTAGTAACAGTTCCCGTTTGTGTCACAATTGACGCTAAATCAGAGTTGCATGCACAGAAGTTACGAAGTCCAAATAGTATCGAAATTGGCGCATATGCTTGATTTACTAACGAAACCAAATGAAGCCAGTTTAACGACTGCATGAATATGGTGGCACGTTACATGTTCTCGGACTGTATCCCGTCGTTGCATGAGTCAGCTAACGAAGAGAAGCATACAACAGTTCGCATTTTCACAGATTGTCAATGCATAACAGCAAGGGGTCAGCGTTCATTGTAAAAAATGATCAGATGAAAGACCTACCTTAAGTCAGCATATATGAACTAAGAGGGGGGGGAGGTTACCGCAAATCCCAGTGGTAAATAAACCTAGGCGCCCAATTACCAGAGTGATTTGAGGTTGGCCACGTGGTTTAGTTGCTTGTAGAGGTAAATTTTCGCCAGTGTATGTAGGTTAGAGTACGATTTGTTTGTACATGAACAACTAATCGGAAAGCTGTTTTGGTTTCGACAAATTGACTATTGTCTAGCAGATGTTTATTAATCGACAACAGTGGTACTGTATCTTTTTGCTTGAAAAGCCACTTGGGCAATTTATCAGCGCCCCTGCCAGCCTGTTGACTTTGCGTACGCCAGGTTTATATAGAAATGAAAATTCAGAGCTATGGTTAAGATTTTTTCTCGATCAAATTCCGTCCGTCCACCGGCGTTCTACTTGCGATAAAATACATTGTATCCTGAGACAGATGCCACATATGATACGTAGATATGTTGCTAAAGGTGCAACAGGTCCAACGCAGGCAGCAATTTCACGGTTGTTACGGATCGTCAGTACGCTGGAGGCCCTCTAAAGTGGGACTCGTATTAAATTTCAAGTAAGCATGTCAGCTACAATGCTGTGGTTTACTTACGAGACAGGGCAATCTAGCCACCGATTACAATCTCACCCATACATTCACGTATGATTCACGCGTCCGCAAACAACTACATGCAGGCAGGCCTTAATTCAATATGTTGCAAGATGATGGAACAAATAGTCAAATGCAAAATGCTGCAGTGTTTGGAGTGGCATCAACTTCTCTCTGACGAACGGCACGGATTCTGCAGAGGAAGTTCCTGCTTGAACAGTTTTCCGTATCGTCTAGAACGATGGACCCGAGCGATCGATGAAGGAATTATGGTGAACGCCGTCTTCCTATACTTCAAGAAGGCCTTTGACAGTGGGCCTCACCAACGTCTCAACCGTATTGGGGTAAGAGGCAACCTTTTGTAGACGATCGGAATCTTCCTGACTGGTAGATATCAGCCCGTATCTCGTAACGATCAGCTCTCGGTTGAGGTGACGGTTGAGAGTAACGTTTACTAAGGTTCCGTCCTCAGTCCTATACTCTTTCTTATATATATTAATGACTGCATCGGCAGATGAGACTGCGAAATCGTAATGTAAGCCGACGACTTAGATCTTTGGAAGGACATCTGCAAGGAAGATGATGAAGAAAATCTACAGGCATTGACTCATTTACTCTGCATTGACTCAACCTATGTTAAAAAAACTGGCATCTGCCATTAAATACTACAAAATGCAACATTATCCGCATCGGCAAAACCAGCAGTGCGCATCGGGGAGTGTTTTGCCCAAATCAAAAGCCGCCACCAGAGGTAGATGCCCAGAAGGATCTGAGGATGTGGCCCAAGCCCTCACTCAAGTTATCCTTCTACTGTTTGACAGATATGCAAGATACCAATGCATTATCATTTGTTTATCTTTCCCCTAATAAAACTGAACTTAAGGAAAAACGAAGAAATTTAGGTTGACCCCCCCCCAACTGGCACGATATGCGAGTTGTTTGTGCAGGATCGCGTATCAGAATGCCTTTTTGAAAATATGGTTTATAGTCTATTTGACAGTTAAGTGCAAAATAGCAAGATACTTTGTTTCGTATATACTGAAATGCAGGCATCCCAAGAAATGTAATTTCAAGGAAAGGCGTCCTTTGGGAAAATAAGTAAGTTTATTCAGTAAATTTTCGACATATGATCCCTAGATCGTCGTCAGACTTGAGAGCAATGTGCGGAGAACAGTTACCATTTTCAAGTGCTGAT